AGCGGTAGTACTGCTTGACATCACCGTACTACCGCTAGGGGTAGCGGTACTACTGCTAAGGATAGCGGTACTACTGCTTGCGAGCGGTACTAAAAAATTACATCCGTGCCTACCACCGCTGGACTTGTGACGAGATTTTGGTCCCGAGCGGAAGTAGCCACGGAAGTAGCCGCGGTAGTACTGCTCCAAGCGGTAGTACCACTCTCAAGAGCGATAGTACCGCTCCCAAGGGCGGTAGTAAAAAATTACTTCCGCTCCTACCCGCGGTAGTACCGCTGCAGCCTTTTCAGAACACCAAAACTACCACAACTTCTTCATTCGAACTCCGAATTCGATGAAACCAAGTTTGTTGGAAAGCTAGCGACAAGGGCTAACACAATCTTGATATAAATACCAATAATAAGAAAATGAGAAAAGGCCCAAAAGAAAATGGTGAGAACCCTTCCTTGGATAAGACCGGTAAAACCTCCAACACCGAAAACATCATAGAAGACGCATGCAAACTCCGTTTTCGATGAACTCAAGCTTGTCATCAAGATGACCAAAAGCTCCAAATCTCACAAGGAGAAGAACCAAACAAGAACCAATAAAGATGATGCAAGGATGCAATGGTTTGAGCTCTCTACGAATGATACGATCAAGCAACTCATCGAGAACCCCCCTTGATAGTACGGCAATCGATCCTATAAATCGGTCTCCCACAGCTACCATGAGACCGGTAAAATAGAAAACCTATCAAGGGCAAACCTTTGCCTTGCACAAAATCCACTTGAGCTAGATGATGACGATCTACTCCTCCTCAAGATGGACCACCTTTCTTGATTGCGTTGGCTCGATAAAGACTAGTTGATTGCTCCCCCATACTCCACTATGGGTGAGCCACTCTTCAGCTGATCTTCACAAGTCCATTGTCACCACAATGGACGGCAAGCTTCAAGCACTTGATCTCTTCGTGATACATCACTTGAACTTGCACACCGTAACCTAACCCCACAAAGAACTCTCACGAAGACCATGGGTTAGCACACAAAGCGTAATGGACAATGCTTACCATACCATGGGATCACTTGATCCCTCGGTACATCTTATGCGCTTTGTGTGTTGAATCTTTCCAACTCTCTTCATTTGGATGATGTCTTGAAGGTGGACATGAATGATCACACAATCTTATTCTTCAAGACATGCTTGCAATAAGCTCAACACTCACATGACCAATCTTTGGATAATTCCTTAATAACACCTTGGTCAACTCATAAACTCCTTGAAACCAACACATGGACTTCAAGAAAAGCCTATGGACAAAACCTTCAGATATAACTCAAGGCAACCATTAGTCCATAGAGATTGTCATCAATTACCAAAACCAAACATGGGGCACCGCATGTTCTTTCAGACGGCCTACCGCAGCCTTGCCGGGGCGCTCCAGTACCTGGCGATCACTCGCCCCGAGCTCGCCTATGCCGTGCAGCAAATATGTCTTCACATGCATGATCCCCGTGAGTCTCATCTCGGGTTGATCAAGCGTGTTCTGCGGTATGTCCGGGGCTCCACCGCACTCGGCCTCCACCTCCGCGCCTCTTCGACGTTGGACCTGCGCGCTTACACTGATGCAGACTGGGCGGGGTGCCCAGACACGCGGCGCTCTACCTCTGGCTTCTGCGTCTACCTCGGCGATGCACTCATCTCGTGGTCCTCGAAGCGTTAGGCCACAGTCTCACGCTCTAGCGCCGAGGCTGAGTACCGTGGCGCTGCCAACGTCGTGGCAGAGTGTGTTTGGCTTCACCAGCTCCTCGGCGAGCTCCGCTGCACCGTCACCACCGCCACACTTGTCTACTGCGACAACGTCTCGGCCGTCTACATGTCCAGCAACCCTGTTCATCATCGCCGGACAAAACACATTGAGCTCGACATTCACTTCGTCCGTGAGCGCGTTGCTCTCGGCCAGTTTCGCGTGCTCCACATCCCAACTCGCCAACAGCTCGCTGATGTGATGACCAAAGGACTGTCGACGGAGATTTTTCAAGACTTCCGATCCAGTCTTTGCGTCTCCAACATCGACGTCACGACTGCGGGGTGTGTTAGACTAGTGAATGCATCAGTGGTTAGTTTAGCATAAGTGTGCGTGCGTGTGTGCTCTCAGGGTCAACACACATGATCACCACCTCACGTACATGTAGTACGTGGTCTAGCGCACGTCCTAAGGATCAGTGGTGCCCTCTGTAACTTGTATATAACTGGCACCCGATGAATGGAAAAGCTGTGTTGGATCCTCTTCTCTCCTTTCACAGACCAGGAGTGCATGGGCAGTGCTCGTTGAGTCGCACTAGTAGAAAAAGGACCTTATATGAGACACATTAGTCCCGATTCGATTTTGGCCCGGTACTAATGGTACCATTAGTACCGGTTCGAATGGCTATGCATTAGTGCCGGTTCGTGTTGAACCTTTAGTACCGGTTCGTGCCACGAACCGGTATTAAAGGGGTGGTGGCAGGCTGGCGTCAGGCCAGGGCCCCACGAGCCCCTTTAGTCCCGGTTTGTGGCACAAACCGGTACTAAAGGACCAACCTTTAGTACCGGTTCATTCCACGAACCGGCACTAAAGGGGTCTAACCTATAGTCCCGGTTGGAGACACAAACCGAAACTATATGGCAATTTTCAAACTTGGAAAAATCATAACTAAATCATCCTAATTCAGAAAAATACATATAATATATCAAAATTTGCAGAACAAAAAGATTGATCCGCTGAAACAACAAGTTTTCCGTTTCGACAATTTTTTAAAATCACAAAATTCCAAAGGGAAAATAGAGTTTTGGGGCGTTTTAGACGTTTTTAGCGTTTAGTGCTAGGGTTTAGATTTCAGAGTTTAGGGTTAGGTTTTATGGTTTAAACCCTTAGTTTTTACTGTTTAGCATAGAGTTTCCGATGTTTTAAGTCCCGAGTTTAGGGTTTAGGACAATTTTTGAAATGACAAAATTGTAAAAGGAAAAAAGAGATGCTCTAATTTATGTTTTTTAAAATTTTGGTTAAATCGTATCAAACCGGTCAAACAACTGATTCAAGAAATATAGAGTGTTACTAAATAATTACGCAATAATATTAGTGTTACTTATTCAAGAAGTATTAATGTTGCTACATAATTTCAGTTTTTTTAATTTTGGTTAAATTTGGTCAAACTATGGTCAAACTACTTATTCAAGAAGTATTAATGTTGCTACATAATTATTAAAGAATATTAGTGTTACTAAATAATTATTTCATTTTTTTGAATTTTGGTCAAATCTGGTCAAACTATGGTCAAACTGTGGTCAAACTTATTCAAGAAATATTAGTGTTACTAAATGTTTTTTAGAATAATAGTTCCAAACTCAAACGGTGAAACGTGTGACCTAATGCTCAAGCTAAATTGCTGAGGGTTAATAGGATTGACAGCTTACATTTGTCAGGAAAACAACAAGTGCAGACTTGGAACGAGGGAGAATAGAACCCGAAAGTTAAGCGTTCGGGAAGTTAGATGATTTGGAATGACGAGGGGTGATTAGAGATTAGATATTAAATTGAACAGTTGTGATTAGAGGTTAAAATAATTCAAAAAATTAAAAATCGAAAAAAAATCAAATATTTTTAACAAAATTTTCAAAAAAGAAAAACATTTAGTACCGGTTGGTAACACCAACCGGTACTAAAAGTCCCCCATACCACGGCGCGAGCTCACGCCACGTGGTGGGCCTTTAGTGGCGGTTCGTGCCGAACCGGTACTAAGGGAGAGGGGGGGGGGGCTTTAGTCTCCACCCTTTAGTGCCGGTTGCAGAACCGGCACTAAAGGCCCTTACGAACCGATTTTAAAGCTCCGGTTTCTACTAGTGTCGGTGGACCATGACAACCTTTGGATGGTGAGCACCACCGACAGGAGAGGCTCGATCCTAATTCCTAAATGAGCATCTGTATGAGGTCTCCCACTACGACGAGCACAAGGGCGGGTGGGTTCCCGTGGAGAATGACGGGACGGCGAGGATCCTAGTGGGGGAAAGCAACAGCTTGTGCATCAGGCGAGGCTGCAGGCTCCGCCCGCCCATGGCGAGGGAGAGCTGGAAGGGGTACTTCCTCCATCTGCGAATAAGTGTACATCTAGATTTTGTCCTAAGTCAAAGTTTTAAAATTTTGATCAACTTTCATAGGGAAAAGTAGCAGCATTTATGACACTAAATTAGTATTATTAGATTCGTATTGAAATGTGGTTTCATATGTACCAATTTGATGTCATATATGCTACTCCCTCTGTCCCATAATGTAAGACCTTTTTTGACACTACACTAGTGTCAAAAAAGTCTTACATTATGGAACGAAGGGAGTATTAGTCTTTTCTATAAAGTTGGTCAAACTTTCAAAATTTTAACTTAGTATAAAAGTTAGATGTACATTTATTCGCGAAAAGGAAGTACATACTTTATCCATCTGACTCCGGTTCATTGTTTCTGGCCTTCTGCCCCATGTCGCACCTTAATTTCCTCATGGTTAGCTCCTGGTCGGCCTATATGTGGTGCCAGAATGCCGGTGGCAAGTATGCTAACACCCTAATAGTTTCTCTTAAAGTATATCTGGATTGGGTAAACTTTTTTTTGCGCATTAAAAGGGAGTTTTATTCATGAATCATAGGGTTAGAATCGATTGACCATAAATCCTCACAACATGAAGGACATCTACTCTTTATCACTCTGCAGTACACGATTCAGTGCAGCTATAATTAGTCAAACAATCTGCTACCCTATTATGAGTTTTCTTGATTTTCTGTGAAATAAACTCCCAATCACCCATCATGCAAAATTTCTCCAATATCTATTTCTTTTGTTTTTTCCCATCAGGTAAGGGAATGCATGTCCATCATGTTTGATTTTGGTGACGATTGAGGTCGGAAACAACAATTGCACACCCTAGTTAACCGTCTGTTTGGAAACAGAAAAATTATGCGTAGCTCGTGCCACCGATTTATACTATGAAGCTAGTTTTCGTCATGGTCGTCGGAAGCCCAAGCCATGCACTCCTCCAACATCTGTCTCATCGTCGTTGTCGTCGTCCTGTCACCACCGGTACCACGACTTGCCCCCTCGCCGCCACCACCTTCAGCACGACTCCAAACCGCCGCATGGCCCGCGTTGGCGTGGACGACGCAGGGCGCAACAACGTAACGTTGAGCGTCGGATGTGGCCGTGTTGGGCGACGCGGCGCCGGTGAGTTGCTGCACGACGCTGCGGAACTGGGAAGGTGGCACGACGTAGACGACGGTGGCGGTAGGGTCCCTTGTCCTCCAGTGCGGCCTCGGCGGTGTCGCGGTCGTGCCGCGGCCGGCAGTGCTATTGTTGCCGCCGTTGTTGCTGCTGCTCATTGCGCCTGCCCTTGCGTCGAGCTGTCAGGTGGTCGAGCTGTGGATTTGTGAATGGGGTCGAGCGGTGGCTGTGCATGGCACGTATATAGCCGCCGCGTACGGAGTGAGTCAACGGTAAGTCAAAGTTGAACGAAGGAAGCCGAAACCAAATGGTAATGCTACTACTGCTAGTGCTACAGCATCACCAGACTAAATTAATTCGTATACGTCTATGTCCATCCCAAGAAAAGAATTTTTAATGTCGGATTTTTTCTCAGGGAATTTAGAGCTTTATTCAAACAAAAGCGTTCTCTGGACAGTCAACAATAAGGCTGCTGATCAGGAAGCTTGGAGTCTCCGTAAGGCAGCTTTCGGTGCCAGTCACCGTGCAAGCACGTTTTGCACAAAGATGAGCTTAACCACCTCCAGGCCGTCGGTCTCTACCAGCACCCGCGTGAACCCTCTGAGATTTGCAAAGATTACTCTATCCCGAGCAGCAAGGGCCTCCACTATCATGGGGTCTGTAACTCCAGGGTGAGGTTTGCACCAAGCACCCAATAGGGCTGTGGATGATCTTGCGACACCACCAGCTCCACTTTTGCCTTCGTCGTGAACAACAGCTGCATCGGTGTTTATCTTGACTTGGTCTGGTTCCGGAGGCCGCCAACCATGACCTGGCAAGACGTTTATGTGTTGTACTGGAATATCAAGCAGGGCCACAGCTTCTCGAGTAAGCCTCATGGAGTTGGCCGGATCCAATTTATCCCCATCATGCGTCCATCTGTTACGGGAAGTCCAAAGGGACCACATCACAGTGATGATCGTTGCTCGTTCTCTTGTTGAGAACCTTGGTTCACATAAAATATCAGCTGCCCAAATTGTGGGATGAAGGCGCGGTAGTTTGATATCCAAGAGCTTGCGTGCTTCATCCCAAAAACCTCGAGCATGTGAACAGAACATGGCATGCTGTAGATCTTCATCATGTGATTGACAAAGCTTGCATGTGCTGATAACTCGAATATGTCGATACTTTAGTGTGCATTCATCTGGCAGAATACCACGGAGTACTCTCCACCAGAACACACATACTTTAGGTACCACCTTGAGAGACCACCGAGCTTTCCACAACTGCTGCTTATTAACTGAAGCTTCTGTATTCGGTCCTTCTTCTCGAGCTTGATGCTCTTTCTGAATCACTAGAGCTCAGTACGCTGACTTAACGGTGTAGTTACCTATCCTCTCATGTGCCCATGCCATTGTATTTGCGCCCCCGCTGCGTCGTAGAGGAATATTCAGTATAGCCTCTGCATCCTGTGCGATAAAATTCTGTCGGACTAGATCCTGTTTCCAGGACCAGTTATCTACATCAATCAGGTCGCTGACAAGTGAGATAGTAGGTGCCATTGGTGTCAACAATGGTGTCCTTGTAGGTGTTGTAGGGATCCACTTGTCAATCCATGCATTGATAGAAGTACCATCGCCAACTCGCATAACAATACCCGCAAGCAAGGCCTCACGACCTGCCATGATGGCCCGCCAAATTGCTGACGCGGCCTTGGGTACAGCAGCTTGCAAGAAATCAACATCTGGAAAGTACCTGCCCTTCATAACTCTTGTGCAAAGAGATGTAGGATTTGTCATGAAACGCCACCCATGTTTGCCGAGAAGAGCTAGGTTGAACATATGTAAATCCTAGAAGCCCATGCCTCCTTGACATTTTGGTTTTGTCAGCTCCTTCCAAGAGATCCAATGAAGCGACCTTTTATCAATGGAACTACTCCACCAATACCGTGCCATGCTTGACATCAGTTTTGCACAAACCTTCTTCGTTAGCAGGAAACAGCTCATACTATAAGTAGGGATCGCCTGGATGATGGTTTTAATGAGTGTCACTTTTCCAGCGCATGCAAAGAGCCTCTCAGACCATCCCTGCATTTTGCTTCTGGACCTCTCACCAATGTGCTCGAAAGTGCAACTCGTGATCCGTCCAACAGGAGTAGGTAAGCCAAGGTATATCTGTCGCTAAACGCTTCCACCATGACACCTAATGTTCCTTTGACAGCCTGCCTGGTGGAGCTGGGTGTGTTCGGGCTAAAGAAATGGCACTTTTATCCTTATTCACACTTTGACCTGAAGCTTCACCATAAATCCGCAGAATATCATTCAATCTCTCCACACTATTGGAGTTAGCATTGAGAAAAATCAAACAGTCATCCACGAAAAGCAAATGACTCACCCATGGTGACCGAATACTCGTCCTGATACCCCTATCAATGTGACCATGATATTTGAGTAATGACGAGAAACCCTCTGCACAGAGCAGAAATAAGTATGATGACGCGGGATCCCCTTGTCGAAGCCCCCGAGAGGGTGTGAAGTAGGGTTGGAGCTCCCCATTAACCCTGCCAGAGAAACGCACAGAGGTGACACATTTCATAATTAAGCTGATTAGAACTCCACTGAAGCCCAACCTCGCCATAATAGCCTCAAGGTAGTGCCACTCCACTCTGTCGTATGCTTTCATCATATCTAGCTTCACTGCACATGCATGGTTTGGCCTTTCTTTCTCCGACGTAAAGTGTGCACACTTTCAAAAGCCACCAGTACATTGTCAGTAATTAGTCGCCCAGGGACAAATGCACTTTGTTCCTCGCTAATTATCTCATCCATACAACCCCTCAAACGGTTAGTTATAACCTTAGCCGCAATCTTATATAATACAGAGCATAGCGCAATGGGGCGGTATTGAGAAATTGTTTGGGGGTACCGTACCTTTGGAATTAAGGTAATGGAAGTGTCGTTGAACCCAATCGGTAGGTCGCCCCCATTTAGAAAGCTTAACACTGCATTAGTCATGTAGTCCTTCAACAAATGCCAATGCCGTTGGAAGAAGCTGGTCGTAAAACCATCGACCCCGGTGCTTTCGTTGGGGCCATCTGAAAAAGAGCATCAGGAACCTCTTTTAATGTCGGATTTATGCATACATATATTTACACAATACGATGTGCCTTTGAAAGAAATATACATATATTTTCACTTCCTCTGTTCCGTAATATAAGACGCTTCGTGTCAAAAAAAAAATGTCTTACATTAGTCAAAGTTGAACCAAGGAAACCGGAACCAAATGGTAATGCTGCTACTACTAGTGCTAGTGCTACAGAATCACCAGACTAAATTAATTTCTATACGTCTATGTCCATCCCAAGAAAAGCAGAACTTGTAGTGTCGGATTAATGCATACATACGTGTACACAATACGATGTGTCTTTCAAAGAAGTATACATATACTTACTCTGTCTTATAATGTAAGACATTTTGTGTAAAAAAAAGTCTTACATTCTATCTTATAATGTAGGACGTTTTGTGTCAAAAAAAAGTCTTACATTATGAATGGAGGGAGTACCCTGTTCGGACGAAAGAATGGAAACCACCATCCTTTGCTGGGCGCAAGTCAGCAAGTGAGTTATAGTGTCTCTGCTACGAGCGCAGGCAGGCACGTAGGGGATCCGACGCGAGTGACGCAGAACGTGACGCCCACTGGGTCGGTCACTGTGGTCTGGTCTTGATGTAGGTGATGACGGGGGTGGAGGTGAGAGCCAGGTGCGTGCAGCGGACGCGACTATTCTCCGTGCACGTGCCAATTCTCCTGGTACGCGTGCGTACACACTACTTAGGAGAAAGTGCTAGAAGGATCGATCCTAAAGGCTGGCCGTGGCGGTGTTCGGGGCGAATTTCATCTCCTCCACTCAGACCATATTCTGCCAGCCTACACCTTCTGATAAACTAACCTGAGAACAAGTCGCTGTCATTTGGATTTTCGTTCCGTTTTTCTTAATCTAACATACCAAGCTCACGAGATGAGGTGCCACGTACCAACTCTGATGTTGACTGTGATAGTGACCAATCCAGGAGTAGGCACAGAGCAGCGACGGCACGTCATCGTGGCACCAAGAAAGTATTTTCCAGGCATTGTAGTGTGGTCTTCTGCACGCAGAGTTTCTCAGCTCGAGCTCAAATACGATTGGATGATAGCAAAATAAAAAATTATAAATTATAAACTGACTTCTTAGAAACATTGGCAAAAGTTTCAAGTCTTATAAAAAGGAAAAAGTTTCACGGTGAGCACCAGCCAAAGCTTTGGCCGGTCACGTCCACGCGCGAACGCACCTACCGACTTGGGTAGCGACACGTAGGATGGGGGGGGGCACGTCCGTCTTCTTCCTCTTTTTCACTTCTCTCGTCGCTCGTCTCTGCCTGCCCTTTCTCTGTCTCCTTCTCAGGCCCCACTGCCATGGCCAACCGTCGACGCCCGGAGGCCTCCCAAGGCACCGTCGCCACGGGAATCAGCCGATCTGACCGCCCTTGGCCAGGTCTGCTTTGGATTCGCGCCACCGGAGCTCTGCTTGGCTCGCCGGATCCGTCCACGCCGAAGCTGCAATGGGCGATGATGGGACTACACCCCTCGGTGCAATTTTGCTGGAATCGGTGGTCTTCCAGGTTTCAACCATGGTGATTGTTTGCTACAACCAATGAGCCTCGGTGCTACAACCTATCGGCGCAAGTTTTGCTGGAACTGGCGGATGTTGAGGTTACAACCATGGGGATTTTTTGCTACAACTGACTAGCCTGGGTGCTACAACCCACATCTCTTTTTGCTACAAACAGCCACGGTGAGATGAGGGACAGCGATTTTTTGCTACAACCGTTGTTGGTTTTCCTACTACGGGTGGACTTTGTTTTTTGCATCGGTGACTGCGGACGACATGGCCGCCGGCATGACGTGCTACAACCAGGCAAGGCGAGCTGCAACTATGGCCACAAGAGCTAGAACCGCAGTCTAGCAGAGCTACAACGGTGGTCCGGTGGAGCTGCATTTTTTGCTTCAACCGGCAGCAGGAAAGCTACAACTGGCACTCAGATTTGCTACAATCACGACAATGAAGTGTTTCCGGTGGGGATGATGCACGTTTTATTTTTGCTGCAACCAGACGACGACGAGCACACTTTTTTCCCTGTGACAGGCAACCATGGAAGCTTCGACTGGCGTTGGATTTTTCCTGCAACCATGGGTGGGCTCCTGGAATTGCGGCTTTCCGAGAGCGAGGATGGCGAGCGGGCGGCGAGCCGGCGAGGTCATCGGTGTTGGGGTTGGTCGGGATGGTGGGGTGGGGGTTCTCTCACGCGTGTTGTTCGTGCGGCTCTGGTGCGCAGGCGGGTAGGAAACGAAGGAAGAGATCGAGAAGGGAGGAACAAGACGACTAGGAGTAGATCTGGCGCCCAACACTGCCCTACAAAAATTCGTCATGGAATCACATACGAAGAAGACATGGTAAAAAAAAAATCAAAATCAATACTTCCAAAAGCATATTGAAGCATTGATTTTATTATTTTTCTAAGCCTTACATTAATGTGATTCCATGATGAATTTTTGCAAGCACTTGAAATATTTGTCAATGTTTCTAAAAATAACAAAATCAGATTTTTTTTTTCGATTTTACTCTTCACCGAGCTAATTTAAAAAAACATAGGTGGCAGGGATTTCGCTCGATCGAATCGCCACCAGCCGCATATTCTTGGTGCCCAAAGGATATTCTTGATGCCTCTGCCTTTCTTCTGATAAACCAACCTGAACATCGCCATCAGTTGGCCAAAGGACGCATATAATTTTGTGAATTCCTTTGGATAATCTAACGTACGAACTTCACAAGATGGGACGACGTGCCAGTGTGCCACGTCCGTGCGTCTCGGCCCACTGTGACCGTGACCCGTCGATGAGCGGCTGCACAGGCAGGCAGCAGTGATGACCCGTCGAGAAGCCTTTTGCAGACACTGGATCGTGGTCTGGGGCCCCGCGCAGGATGTCGCATCCGACCGCGTCATGGCCACCGTGCTCGACGCCGAGAAGCCTGGTAATCAGTTGCCCTGAATCTTTCACTGAATTCCAGCTTTCCTCTGAATGTTCACCTTCCATTCCAAATTACTCTTGTATTATTGGCAGATTTCGTGGTGTACCTCGGCGACCTCGTGACAGCCAACAACGTGCCGATCCCCAACGCCACCCTGTACTGGGACATGGCGATTTCTCATTCCCGGCGCAGGGGCATCCCGTGGTCCACCGTGTTCGGCAACCACGACGACATGCCCTTCGAGTGGCCGCCTGAGTGGTTCTCCACGGCCGGCATCCCGCCGGTGCACTGCCCGCCTGCGGCGTCCATGCCAACCTCAGGTAACCGAACATTCCAAATCCCGCTGAATTCTGTGTTCAACCAGTCCGTAAGTAGGGTGTGTGCCGGGAATGGTTCAGAGTGCAGCTTCAGAGGGACGCCGCGGATCGACCTGATGACGGCTGAAATGAACCGCGACGGTGCCGACGGGTTATCGCGCTCGTCGGTCGGCCCCCAGGAGCTCTGGCCCGGCATCTCCAACTACGTGCTGCGGGTGCTCTCGCATGAGAAGCAACCAGACCCTGCTCTGCTCATGTATTTCCTCGACTCCGGCGGTGGATCGTACCCGGAAGTCATATCCTCTGCACAGGTCCGGTGGTTCTGCTACCAGTCTCAGTCCCTCAATCCAGATGGCAGGTCAAAAACTAACTTGCCACAATTCTTACTCAACAACTGAGCTGACATAGTGACATTTGCATGTTGATGTTGCACAATTTGGATCATCTTTGCGAGCCTCTGCAGGATTCCAGAGATCATCTTCTGGCACATACCGAGCACAGCATACGTCAAGGTGGCTCCAAAGGCCAAGACTGAGATAACAAAGCCCTGCGTTGGCTCCCTGAATGAGGAAGATGTGGCGCCACAGGTAGCCGAATGGGGCATGATGGACGCTCTTGCCAAGAGATCTTCAGTTAAGGCATACTACTACTACTTTGTCTGAAACTCTCATGAACTGCATGCCGGATCATCTCTCGAGTTGTGTAATGTGGTAACCTTTTGAAGGCGATCTTCGTGGGGCACAACCACGGGCTGGACTGGTGCTGCCCGTACGAGAAACTGTGGTTGTGTTTCGCGCGGCACACGGGTCACGGCGGATATGGTGACTGGCCAAGAGGGGCAAGGATCGTTGAGATTGCCGAGAAGCCTTTCTCTGTCCGCTCCTGGATACGGATGGAGAACGGGAGCACGCACAGCCATATTACATTGTCTTGAGCTTTTATTCAGGTAGGATTCAGACTTGTCTGCACCATGATGTGTTGAATTTGGAAAGTCCATTGCAATGCAAACAGTTTGTAACTTTGTATTTGAGTTAGTTAGGCCTTGGTGCAGCCGTGCAGGTGTCATCGCACATCGTATTAGCGCCAGACACGTATGATGCATAGAGCCAGTGGTTCCAACAGCCCTACACAACCGGACACCCAAATGCATATAGAGACTCAACCCCAGGGCTCCCTTTCGTCTTTCGACCGCGTGCGTGAGTTTCAAATCGAGTCCGTATACAAGTAGTATGAATATGAGTCCGGATCGTACTAGGCCTCGGGTGTTGGGTCAGATCGTGCATATATACGCAGCTAGTCCTGTGTTCCTGGGATGTGGAGAGGAGTTATTTTGTATTGGCCTAGGTTCCCGGGATTTTTATGCGGCAACCCGGCGTATGATGACAAAAAAAGAGTTTCGCTGTGACGCCGCCGCCGCCATAGGAACCAGCCTGCCGGAGGAGCTGCACCTCGAAATCCTGCGCCGCCTCTCCCCGATTCCCCATGTGCTCGCCCGCGCCTCCGCCGTCTGCCGGGAGTGGCGCCGCGTCGTGAACAACCCCGAGTTCCTCCGCGAGCTTTACCTTGCTCGCAGCGGGGCGCCCGTCACTGTGGGTTTCTTCCACAATGCGGACGACGGTGAGTACCCGCGCAGGTTCGTGGAGGCGCAACCTGACGACCCCTTGAGACTCTCCTTCAAATTCATCGATCGGACGATCAACTGGCAGTTCGTGGACTGCCGGCACGGCCGCGTCCTGCTCAAGGATCGACCGAGTCATCGGTTCCTGCTGTGGCATCCCATGTCAGGCGACCACCACCTCGTTCTAAAGGGGCCACCGGTGTCCGGTGAACAAGAAAGTACTGGTGTCACGCTGATATGTGATTGTGGTGTGGTACCCGGCGATGACGAAGCCGACAAGATAGGTCAACGCACGTTGTGCCATGCGAGCCACTTTGGCGTGGCAATCGTCTGCAACCACAGACGCACAGGCTGCCTGGAGGCCACCATCTACTCCTCTGTCACAGGTGAGTGGAGCTCACCGCTGCAACTACCAAATTCGGCACGTCAAATCCGCCCCGAGCCATGTGCCGTCATCAGCAAAACCTTGTACCAACCACTATGCGACTATCTCGTTCTGGCCTACGATACGGAGCAAGGGAGCCTTACCACATTCAAGCGACCAAATTGCGGCAATATTCGTCTTTTTAAGGCGGGCACTGCCGTGCTCGGCCTCGCCGGGGTATTGGGTTTCACATTGCGCTTGTGGGCAAGATATGCGAATGCGTGGGTGCTGCAGAAGATGATCGATCTGACCGAGATTCTTCATGGTCTGTCAACTGCTCCATCGCCCAGAACAGACCCTCGGTTTAACTTTATGCCGCCAGTGAAGATCATTGGGGTTGCCGATCAGGGCGATGTTTTGTTTTTGTGGACCATGATCGGCATATTCATGTTATGTCCTGAATCCATGGAGGTCAAGAAGGTGCATCAGACTTCTGCCAACATGAATGTCGTATATCCCTATGGTGCCTTTTATGTCCCACCTGCTGCCCGTACCCAAAAGTTGCGACATAGGCCAAAGAGTAGATGATGTGTTCAACGCCCATGACCATTGAGATATGTTCCTGGCGCTGCAAAGTTAGGCTTCATTTGTTATCGTGGTTGTTTACTGTTACTTGTTTATATAACCAACATTTACCTTTTGTTTTACCAACTTTATTAGTTTCATTTCTGCACTTACATTATAAAATGGAGTCGTTTTTTTATCGTCGTCAAAGTAATACTCCCTCCGTTTTTCTTAATCTGCATATATATAAGATTTGGTCAAAATCTAAGTTTATTAAAAAAAATCAAGATTTACAATATGAAATCAATATTGTTAGATGCACCATGAAATTAATTTTCATACCATATAGTTTTAGTATTGTAGATGTTGATATTTTTTTCTATAAAGTTGATCAAACTTTACAAAGTTTGACTTTGACCAAATCTTATATGCGGACTAAAAAGAAACGGAGGAAGTATGCGCAATTATATAGCCCTCTTTCGTTTTGAATACAAAGGTCATGTCAGATTGCACTACCATGTACTGTAGAAAAACATTGGCTGCTTAACTTATATATTACAACTACAAATATAATTATGATTATGATAGAACTATGAATATCATTATGATAGATTTTTTTTTAGTAGGGTAAGTGCACTCGAGTGTCTTAGAAAAATGCCTATAAGGATTGAGCCATCCATCCATGCGATAATTAGTCGCCCTCGCGTGGATGTCATGAGGATTAATGCCTAAATCCAAATTTTAAATAATTTATCTCACAAACTGTTAAGCGGATTAGTGATCTGTATTCACGCTGATAGTATCCACTGACAACTGTTAAAAACGGATTAGCGATCTGTAGTTTGTCTTCAAAAATTCTAACTGAAAACAAAATCCCTCGTACATATGTGGCAACAAAAATATTTCCTCTCAATTAGAAATACATCATTCCTCAATACAAATTGGTGTGTATACTTCTGGATTCCATGAGCAGTTATGAGTACTTAGACAACTTGAACATATCTATACTTTTGTCTTAGAAAATATTCTAACTGCTTAATCCCTGGTGCAAATATGTGTCAACAAAGGTATTTCCTCTGAGCTAAAAAAACATATTTGGTCAGAGGAAATAATTGATGTGTATGCGTCTGGATTCCTTGAGAAGTTACATAGAAAACATATTTCCTGTCAATTTAATAAACATGTTTCCAAAAAAAAACTTATTGTGCATATGCCTGTATTCCTTGAGAAGTTATGAGTACGTACAAAACATGAACAAACCTATAATTTGGGTGTGTCTAGTGCACATCTAGATGTGCTCTAGCCATTGCACATCTAAGTGAGTGAATCAAATATAACAAGGAAAAAAAAGAAAAAGAAAATAGCCACACGCATCTCGACATGCTTTAGCAAAATTGCTACTCACTCCATTTTTGTATACAAGGCCACTATCAAAATTATAATTTGCAACTATACAAGGCCAGTAACATCAATCGAGGTAAACTTGATGATGTTTGCCTCGCACTAGCAACCGAGGACATTAATACCCCTTGCATGCATGTGGGAGTGAGAAGCTTGGTTTTCATGTACCACATTAATCAATCAACGAGGAGTGAGAGGGTTGTCTTGTTGTGCGTTGAAGAGAAAAATACACATTAATTAATACTTCGAGCGAGGAGAAAAGACAAGCTTGCACCATTGGCTTAAGTAAGCATTAGTTTCTACCTTCGTACCTGTAATATGGATTTGTGGCCTTGTATACAAAAATAGAGGGAGTACTTATAATTTTGAGAAAACTTGTAACGTGGTCAACTTGGTATGGAATTTATAGGACAAGAGATCGTGTCGAACAATATAACATGTGTTACTCGCATGACTAGCCTTGCAAGGCCGGATTTGGACCGCCGATCGCTTGGAGCACCGAGGTTGGCCAAATTATGGCCTATGCACTCTTTGCAAAAGAGAACAAGAAACAAGCATCCACCTCTTTGTCAAATGCCGTTTTACCATCAGGCTTTGGGACATGGTGATTGCAAGATATGGGCTTGTGCACATGGACACCACCGTTTGGCATCTTCATGAGTCGCTCTTCGATTGGTGGGTTAGGAGAACCGACATGACAAATCCTAACAGGAGAGCTATGGCCTCCCTCACCATGCTAGTGTCGCCGACTATATGGAACGAGCGGAATGCTAGGATCTTCAGGCACAAGAGCAGGCCGCCCCCGATCCTCCTTAAAATAGTTACCGATGAGGCTAGCCTCTGGGTTACTGCCGGTGCTAAGAAACTAGGGAAAATTGTATTAGGCGAGTAATTGCCATGCCGTGTAGGGTGGGGTACTGTAACCGACTTAAACTCTATTCTCCTCTCATTTAATAGATGAGGCAAATTTTTTGCCTCCATTTAAAAAAAACATATGTTACTACAGTTTCTTCCTTATAAAACTAAAAATCATCTTCGAAGGCAACACGGCAGGGCGCAAACGGAAGACTTCATCACGGAACTCATGCGCGTGCGATCAGATCCAATTGCGAGAGAAGTGCACTTTGCTGACGCCGCCATGGGCAGCCTGCCGGACGAGCTCCACCTGGAGATCCTCAACAGCCTCCCGCCGCTTCCGCCAGTGCTCGCGAGTGCCTCCATTGTGTGCAAGACATGGCGCGGCGTTGTGAACGACCCAGATTTCCTCCGCGAGCTACACAACAAGCACCGCGGGCCTCCGGCCATGCTAGGCTTCTTCCACAACTCATACGAACTCCCACATAGGTTCGTGCACGCCGGCAACCCAGCAAGCTTCGCCCGTGGATTCGGTGATCGGAGGACTGACTGGCAGTTCGTGGATAGCCGCCATGGCCGCGTCCTCCTTAGCGACGGGTGGGATCATCGGTTCCTAGTTGGCGAGCGGCATCTCGTTCATTCGGTGCCGCGCTGCTCTGCGACTCCGCCACAGGTGAAGAGGGCAAAGGCCAAGGCATGGGGTGCCATGCCAGTCCCTTCCGCGTGGCCGTTGTATTCAAGAACTCGCAGACGAACTGCATGATCGCCAGTGTCTTCTCCTCGCTCAACAACCAGTGGAGAAATAAATCAGTGTTTCTTTAAGCACTGGTGCTTATTTGTAGAAGATAGACGCTTATAAGCATGTCTTTTCTATAAAATAGAGACACTGGTGCTTCAGAAAATCCGATTTATTTTTCTAAGCACCTAGTATTGTACAAGGCCTTAGAGCATCTCCAATAGATGAGGTATATTTTGGTGCTCCAAACCGATGATGTAAATATTTGGAGCATCAAAAAGTGCTTTTTACATCTCCGAAAAATATTGTGCCTTGTTTCGGCTAAGCTAGCATCGGTATATGTACTAGTAGGGACAAAAAGAAGAAGAAATGCACCATGCTCTAAACAAAGCATCG